AATCATAACGTCTGTCTGCTGAGCCCTCGTGATAAGTGCGGCTGTCGACGTTTACATCAGCACCAGCGCCTCTTTAGTGTGTGTGTGTGTGTGTGTAGTAACGTTGTGATGACTGATTGGATGCAGTACATGCATACTTGGGCTTGTTTGTTAAACAATTAGCCTATGCAATTTATATGTTTGAAAACCGCCAAACTGACCTCAAACCAGCCCAAATTTTGTCCAGCCGCCCAAGCCTATTGGAACCCGTCCAATCTGGCAACACTGGATGAGAGGGTCTGTATTACTTACTATTCACCTTTTTCTTCCCGTAAAAATGGGCGCGGCCATTTGTAAATTCTATGGGACTGACTTCCGGTCTCATCCGCGTCCAGCTATTTTTAGCTGTACAAAACAGCTCGTTTTGCTACTTGATATTGAAAATGGGTATGTCTTACCATATTATTTCAATGTATTATCTTAATTATGAACACTCTGGTTTGTAGTGCAAACAGTTTTACTGTTTACTGCACGTTGATATTCTTCTGGTTATTTCCCTACAGCGGCTAATGAACCGGAAGTCTCGCCCATAGGCTTACTTCCGCGTTGAAGACAAAGGTGGATAGACCATTTTTCTGTTAGTTAACATTGTGATGTTTTTCTGTGGGCGGAGCTTAGGTGGAGGCAGAAAGATTCCCCTGAACGCTTCGCTCACGCTAGCTATGAAGTTTGTTAGCTTTTTTTTTTTAACAGTGACTGGAGAAAATCCGATTTTACCTGCATATGTTAGGTCACTCGCTGTCTGGGGCTACACTTTAAAAAATACTGGGTTGTTTCAACCCAACTTTGGGTCGAATATGGACTAACCCAACCGTTGGGTTAAATTTTTAAATTACATTTTTAACCCAAAAGTTGGGTTAGTCCATATTTGACCCAAAGTTGGGTTGAAACAACCCAGTATTTTTTTTAGAGTATATGATTGTTATTTGAAAAGGTTCACTTTAACGGACGAAACCAGAATCACTCAAAGGATGGACGATCTGACAGGATTGAGTGACTCACATCTATAGAGAAACCTAAAGTGTATAGTAAAGAGAAACTCACCTGTGTCTATCTAGTCATGAAGATGTATATATATTTCAGTTGCAGCAGGCATCTATTTTTACAGCTACTTAAGAGTGAACTGGGCCAAAATACAAAAAATGTTACATTCAACCTAATGGATAGGCCTATTATTATATGTATCATGAAATGGCCAAATAGTTATTTTAATATACCTCCTGTAAATAATGTAGGTTTACAGTGACATTACAGTACCTTTACATTACATACAGTACATTTAAAGTAAGATGTGGATATTTTCTAGAAATAAAATTCCAGAAACTGCTCATTTGATTATTCTTTCTTGCCAAGTTCTTAAAAATTCCATCCACAATCAATCACAACAAGTTAGTCCATATTTGACCCAAAGTTGGGTTGAAACAACCCTGTATTTTTTTTAGAGTGTATGATTGTTATTTGAAAAGGTTAACTTTAACGGACGAAGCCAGAATCACTCAAAGGATGGACGATCTGACAGAATTGAGTGACTCACATCTATAGAGAAACCTAAAGTGTATCGTAAAGAGAAACTCACCTGTGTCTATCTAGTCATGAAGATGTATATATATTTCAGTTGCAGCAGGCATCTATTTTTACAGCTACTTAAGAGTGAACTGGGCCAAAATACAAAAAATGTTACATTCAACCTAATGGATAGGCCTATTATTATATGTATCATGAAATGGCCAAATAGTTATTTTAATATACCTCCTGTAAATGATGTAGGTTGACAGTGACATTACAGTACCTTTACATTACATACAGTACATTTAAAGTAAGATGTGGATATTTTCTAGAAATAAAATTCCAGAAACTGCTCATTTGATTATTCTTTCTTGCCAAGTTCTTAAAAATTCCATCCACAATCAATCACAACAATGTATACACAATTACAGATGATTAAGCATAAAAATCGTCAGTTTGATGTTTTACACACATGCACACAGACTTTATTTCATACATGACAGTCGTGAGGTGCATAAGAAATCTTTAGACGCGCAACACAAACCACATAATCCATAACAACAAAAGACAATAGTTTATTTATCCTTTTTTGATAAGAAGTGTGCACTGCAAACGATCGTTTCTGTCCAGTCCGCTCGTTTTATCCCGTTTAACCACAGCTGTCGTCGGTTTTTTGTCTGGCAGTAGCAGCAGCTATGTGTTAAAATTTCAATTGGAGCCTGTACTACGTCGATTCTGGCACCCAACATCACAACAAGATGATATTTTAAGCTCCTTGTGTAGCCGAATCTGTGCTGGTGTGAATTGGCCGTCTCCAGTTTTCCCTTTGTTTTGCCTCCAGCTAGTGCTGTGACGTAATTGTGACATGGCCCCTAAAAGGATCTATTGGAGAAAGTGTAACGGCTAACTTGGATCACGTGTGCATTAATAACCAATCACATTACAGCCTTGACGTCATTGAATTTCAGTCAGAGTTGTGCGACACTCAGTCGCCGTTTACAGATACAATAGGAATGAATGGGAAATGCCGTAAGCTGAAGCCCACCTGTCGCAAAAAGTCAGTGACTTCTCTTATAAAACGGCATTTTTTTTCGTGGTAAACTCTA